AAATAAAATGTACAGTCGTTTATATTTAAATGTATTGAAATTATAAACTTCTAAAATTAGTAGTATTTTATGTCATAAGAAAACGTCAAACCTCTATTTATATTTGAAAATAACGTTACTGCGTATTACAAATATTTTTGTTTTTATTTTTTTATATATAAACTTAAGAATCATCATCACAAGTGTTTTTAAATGATTTTTTATTGCTAAATTTGTTCGTTAAACATCAATGAAAATGAACATGTAATAACTTTGATTTTATTTATTAGTTTCTATTTATGACAAGCGCTAACAAATGTATTTATGCATTTAGATGAGTAATCCCACTGTGGAACAAGTGCATACACTCCTAACATTCCTAGCAGAGCACCAGGAGTTAGCTCGTGGCCACTGTAGAAATGCAGAAGGGCGAACAAGATCAACCCAATTATGGGTTCGTCTCACCGAACTCAATGCATTGGGTGGATGCACTAAAACTGTAAAGCAGTGGCAGAAGGTAAGCACTTTTCTTGATATTTTAGTACGTGATATGCATTTAAAATGTTAAATAATTTTGTTATTAAATAAAATTTTCCAATACTTTATAAATTTTAGGTATGGGCTGACAAAAAATATCTAACTAAAAAAGCTGCTACTGCTGCTCGAAGGTCTGCCACAGCCACTGGGGTAGGGCCATCATCTGCTGATCCTTTAAACCCAATACAGTGCAGAATATTGGGTATTATGGGAGAGGGCTTTGGAGAACCTCAGTCGGATGCACATGTTCCTGCATTTCCAGAGGTATGTTGTAAAACCATTACTAAAATAGTGCTAACTGTTATCTCTAGACATATATAACATAATGGATGTCATCAAAATACATGGTGACTTCCATAGTATTCCTCATGCATTACCATTCCTTTTATTTCTGTATATAAGGTACCTAAATAGCTTTTTCCCACCTTTCAGACTGAAATACAGCTATGCAAGAACAGCTGCTTCATAGCAGAAATATGAGTTGAGACAGAGTTGGTACCTTTTTATATATACAGTTTTTCAATGTTAACTAAGAAGTAAAGATAAGACAGTACTAATAAATAACACTTACTTATACCTTATTATTGATTAAAAAATTTATATCATAATAAATTATTGTTATATGAAAATATTTCTGTAAATATTAAGATTATTAGTAATGGGGGCTTATAGTCCTAATCACTAGTATATTCCTAGACATCAAGTCTGGTATTAGTACCAATCATGCATACACTAAAACAATAATGATAATAATTATTTTAAAAAAAACTTTTTTAGAACTTCAACGGCTACTACACGTCCAGAGCGACGACGCCGTCGAGCAGACGCCATTGGACCTCGCAGTGTACGCAGGCGTTTGTTCGAAATGGAGGAGCGGCGAATCGCATAGGATCGACGGGTGGTAGAGTCAAAATCACTCCAGGAATTAAATGTATTAATAAGGGATCGATTGGATGGTCTACAAATAGAATTAAGACGACTGAATAGATGAAATTTTGTTTTTTTTTTGTATTTGACATGATTAATGTAGATTTGTGTTAGTTTGTTGATTTGTTAAATAATGAGTATAAAAAAAGTTACTTAGCTTTAGATATATCATTGTTGATTTGTTGAATTACGTTAGTTTGTTGATTTGTTAAATAATGAGTATAAAAAAGTTAGTTAGCTTTAGATATATCATTGTTGATTTGTTGAATTCTGTTAGTTTGTAGATTTGTTAAATAATGAGTATAAAAATGTTACTTAGCTTTATATAAGTATTAACAAAGACACAAAGTACTAAACTACAGTTTTTTATGGTCATTAATTTAATGCGCCTTGAACTACACTACTTAGTTTGCATATACTTATACAACATTTTTCTGAATGAATGTTTAATCATTTATAATTAGTGTTATTTTAAAAAATGTTTAATATACAATTTTGATGTTACTTTTATCTATATATATATATATACCTACATATATGTGATTACAAAATAAAAATATTTTATTGTAAAAAGTTTTTAATTTTGTAAATAAGTAATGCCTTAACTTCTAATAGAATAGAATAGAAAATCATTTATTCAAATAAACTTTTATATTGCTGTCATCTATGAATTCATCTATCCTATAATAGGCTTTTTTACATAACATTTGTTTAATATCAATTTTAACAGCATTTAGGTAAAATTAGTATATTTTTATTGCATAAGTTTCTACTTGTACAGTCTTTAAGTTTCTTGAAACTATCTAAGTTTTTCCTTGTATACATAATATTTCATAAATGTACTGTGAGGAACGGTGAGGATATTTGATTCTTTAAAGCCTTGATATAATGACTATCTCGAACATACCATAAATAGAACATATGTCTCTTCTAATCTTTATATACCAAAGAAAAGAAAACATATTAACTGTGAGACTTGGAATTTGATAAATGCACTTGATAGCTTATAGACTATTCAATATAATATCAGCTAATAATATTTAACATATATAAATACAATTATAATCATCTTTTATGACATCCTAATAATGAAAAGGAATGACAAAACATTGTATATCTTGTTTGTTCAAATTTTATATGTAGTACAACTACAAAGTTAACAATTACATTTAAACAAATAAGTTGTTTCTCCTTGAAGACTCTCCAAATGATATATTTGATGAATGCATCATTGTGTACCACCATAGAGTCAATATTCATATTTTTAAATTACTGTCAAAAAAAAATAGGACAAAATTATAAAGATATTTGCAGATAGTGACAAATATGAATAACTTGAGAATTATTTATACACTATTTTTACAGAAAATATTTTGAACATTTAAAGAGTAATGTTTTCTATTGAAAAATCTCTCTTCATTGACTGTTGGCTTATAGCTACATGGGTTATACATCCTATAACACCAGGGATACCATACTGTGTAGCAAAACTGAAAAAGAAATATAAACTACTGATTATTTAAACATCAATTAACTTATGCTGAAATTAACAACAATATCATTTATAAATTTACAGCTACAAATAGTTGACTGAACTAAATTAATAGTATATGTATTATAAATCGACAAAGAGCATAAAATTCTATAAAGTTAAATCAATCATATTTAATATACATAAACTTACTTTCTCTTCAATATGTTCCTGTCTTCCCTGGACTGAGGAAATCTATATATTTCCTTAGTATATAGGGTGTATTTAGGGCATCTGTTACATCCCTGATGCAGTTTGAACAGACTGCTGATATAGTGGTGTCTAAATTTTGTCCGACTGCACCCTGGTAGCTACCACTGGCATAAAAATTTAATGCAGTGAGAATCTGAAAAAAAAAATAGATATAATTTAATAGGTAAATACTAAATTTTTTCATCTACAAAATGTACATAAGATCTTACTTTGGTTATTTTTGCTCAACTATTTTTAGGCAGGGGTAATAATCGTACCACATACTGACAAAGATTCTCGATTTTGAGTCTGTATTTAGATACAAACTCGAAGTCGGGAATGGATCTTTGGAGGTACCTAGTACGCATTTTTCTTTTAAACCTGCGTCTTTCAATTTCTTCTTCATTGAGGGCTTCTAAAATTCCAGCAAATCTTGGCATAATGAAACTAAATCAAAATAAAGTAATGCTAAGTTGTAGGTTATATTGAACACAATAATATTTAAAAACACTAATTAGTTTAACTTTTATCACATTATTCACTGTAACACATTAACAGAATGATTAATTAATCACTTTTTTATATATTACAGCACTTATATACGTAAAATCCATACTTACGAAAGTAAAAAGGTTTCGTCTACTTCGCGCTTTAAATCACGATAAACGTGCTGTCAAAACGTCATAATAACGTACGAACGGATACTTCATGGTACGATTTGGGACGATCGAAACGATATTCTCCGTTTTCGGGCACGATTTCGGAATGAACGTTTTTCATGGTACGAATCACACGAAATATCGATCCGAAATTTCGGAACACTTCGTGGTAGACCTACAGTACCCGGGGTAGCCATTTCTGTTAACTAAGGTGAAATGTCATTAAAAAGAAATTCATTAAAAACGCGACCCCATTTTAATATAGATAAAGTAGATATTGTGGCGTATGTACTATTACGACAAGGTATGATCCCATATAAAGCTGTCATCATGCATACATATTTCGTGCGTAGGCTCCGTTTGATTGTTCCGGTTGGTAAATCGACGGGGAATATAAACACTAGTTCGCGTGTTACATTGACTTTATCATACATTACATGAGTCTTAACTTTCATACACGATCTACCTATCTAATTTTGGTAATAGCTATGCCAAAAAACTTCTTATAAATTAATAAAGATTTTAAGTAGTATCTCTTAGCCACTAAATTAAAATAAAACTGCCTATCAGTTAGTTCTTAGCAGATACTACGTATCTCTCTCTATGCTTTTAGTTTAATCTATGTATTATATTATGCAATTGAATTAACATTTTTAATTTGTAACTCGCTTTACTTTACTAACCTTAAAGGTAGATGTCATTATTTGTGTATTCGCAATATGTTATTTCTTTTAATCTTATTTATTAGTATACCCATTTATACCTGTATCAGTTAGTTTAACCGATAATAATCTGGTAAGTGATATCCACGTATGTACCTATAATGAATCATCATTATTATCGGCCAAACCGTTTCCCATTATTTAATTACTTACGTAAGTATGTGATAATGGGATTTGCACTGCTTGTTTTTATGCAGTTATACACAATTAATAGTTTAAATTAAATTCACTGTGAGTGTATTTATATATTTTGTTTAGCATATCTTTTAACTTTTTGTTGTGAAGTGTCTAAAAATTTTTATGTCTGCGTGATTGATTTCTAGCAATAAGTAGGTATCGGCTTTTTGTTTTCACATATTTATACTTTACTATTTAAAAAAAAATACTGTTTGTTATCATGACACGCAGTTATTAAATCAAATGTACACCTTACAGTTACATGACATGACTCACCTCTGTGATGCCTGACACGATGATGTGTCACCGGACGACAGCACGGTTGCTCCTGGTAAGCGGTCCAGGAGTCCGCCAGCACAGATGCTAGCACAACCCACAGCAGCCCGGCCGTCCACTGCCCAGCAGCTCCCATGGTGCCCACCACTCCTGCTAGTCCGTTCACATCCACTATACACTAGTATATTGACTGCACAGTACCCTTGGACTCGAAAGGCATTATCGCCGAACAATGGTCCATACAATGCACCCAGATGTATTGTAACCTTTAGTCAACAAACGATTTCAGAAAACTTCAACAATGTTAATCTGTTTACATTGCGCGATCCTAAATGGAAACTGTAAGATTACGCTTCCGTTCCAATCATTTGAGTTGAACGGACTTAGTGATTAATCACCGGAGTCGTGCCGCAAGCTTGTTATCTCATATCGAGTTATAATCTGTTGGCGGGGTTACTTCGTACGACTCGGCTGATTTATTAGTTTGGAAAGAAGTATCGGCGCGATCGTCACAACGTATTATTGTTTGAGAGCGGCGCCACGTGCGCCACCGGCATCGCCGTGACGAAGACTGGTGGATACTAACCGACTGGCGCTCGTTCGCTACACCTCGGGCTCGGCAGTCGGCACCGCGAGACAGACTCGCCTGCCTCGAATCGGCACACCCGCTACTCTACACACCGCCTGTCACTTGTACAAAATTCGCTTGTCTCTGCCCCTTGACTTTAAACCCCTCAACGTTAGATAAGGATGGAAAATGTACAAAATTGTTCGTATAAAGCTCTGAGCGAATGAAAAAGCTCGCTCGCTCCGCTCGTTTAAAGAAAAGTTGTAACTTAAAAAGTTTTATTATAACATTGTGGATCTGAACAACTTCGGGGAAATCTGACTAGGTAGGTACTGACCCCGGTGTCATTACGAACATATTGTAATGAAGGGGATGCTTTCTATAAAGTATAATAAATTTAACTAATTTATGTTTTCGTTAGGATACGCATGAGGAACTTTTATGTTTGTAAGCACGCGAAAGGAAGTCAGCAATTTATTTTTTATGTATATATTTGTCAATAAATAGCATAGTAGGTAGAAATGAGTCACTGTAGTAGTGTGCGTCGTAAATTACCGAGAGAATTCTAAACAAGTCATCACAACGTCATTGACGAAACAAGACCAACTAATTTGTAACATTTCTATTAATATCTCGCTAGATGTTAATTTATACAACTCAAGATGGAGAAACAATTGATTGTATTAGAGTTACGAAATACTATGCGCATTTTGATTAAAATACAATAATTTAGCTCTATGTCTTTAGTAGGTATCTATACCTTAGTCATTTAACCTACTTCACCTCTGAGTCTTCTAAGAATATTCTAGAATTCTTTGGAATATAGTCAAATAGCTAAAAATGGAATGAAATTAATTAAAAACAAATAATATATATTTCAGTGGAGATGGTAGGATAGAGCTGAATATTAATTTTCCTAATTTTAGGCGACTAAGACGAATTGAAATGATTTTATACAAATAACACCATAGTCTGTTTCAATGATAATATTTTTATTTTTCATGTAAACATAAATATTTTATTTTTTTGCCTACCTACTAATTTTTTACATAGAACTGTTAAACAAAGGAACATGTAGGTAATCTTATTATTTTTAACACTAGTAATAATAACAGAAATGAAAGTATTTATATAATAAGCTGAAGTACTCTTAAACTAAACTATTTTTAAGAAGATTTCTAATAGTATGTAATATTATGTTATCTGTGCTATTAGTAAGTTTTATAGAACACTGCCTGTTCCCGCGACTTAGTCCGCGTGGAAATTAACTTTATTTTTCTAAAATAAAAGTAGCCTAAGTTACTCCTTATTACATCAGCTATCTGCCAAAAAGGACCCATCATAATCGGTCCAGCCATTTCAGAGATTAGCCGGAACAGACAGACAGACAAAAATTTTTTAAAAATGATATTTATTATTATATGTATAGATTAGGAATAAAATTAGTGAGTATTATATATTTTCTTAAACTACTTCTATTCTTATTTACAAAGTTAATAATTCTATTGTACGAATTACATATTTACATCAAACTCATATTACTGTAAAAAATCTGTCACATACTTATCTCAATATTATGTCAAGCTGAATTTTAGATTGAACCCAGATCAAAACAACATCTATGTATTGTCTCCTTCTACTTCGTCTGACATTCCTTACATATGATGTTGATTTCCGGATAATTCTACATAACATAAGGGATTCTTGGAATTACAGGCACTTATGTGTACGTAAGTCAAGTTTTAAAGCATCAAAGCCTTTAAAGTAAAGAAACTTGTGTTAATTTGTATGTTATAATCTATTTTTAATATCAAATGTACTGTAAATTGAGGCTTCCGATTATTTTCTGATCTAATCAAAAATAGAAAGTTCAAAACACTGCCTATGACTGGCTTCAATCAGAACGTTATTGTCTATACAAAATCATCGTGCGAGTTTGCAGGCGTTATGGAACAAATGAGTCATAAACTAAAATGTATAACATTTTATTATATATTAAATAAAAATGTTGTCTAGGAAGTTTAAGGAAGACTGTATTATACCGACTTACTACATAGTTACAATATATTTCTTTTAAATATATCAAGGAATATAACATTAAATATCAAGAGTTAATCATCATCTGCTTCTTCCTTATTCCATTAATTTGTGGTATTTCTCATCCAGTTCGCAGTTATCTTATTATTTACTTCCTTTCTTGCCATATCCACTTTCACACAGTCCATCTATCTCGTTTTTGATCGTCCTCTGCTTTTATAACCATCCACATTCATATTACTTTCTTTAAAATATTCTCTTCATTCCCACGCATTGTTTACTCATTTTATAACAGACAATTACCCACTTTTCAACTTCTCCGTCACTGACACCACTTTCATACTTCCTCTAATATATTCATTCTTTATCTTGTCCATTCTTGTCACACCACAAATCTATCCCAACATTCTCATTTCAGTTGCTTACAGTCGTCTTTTATCCGTCAGTCGATTACAAAGAATTCATACCTGCCGTTATTAGTAACTGCGGTATGCACCTGTGCCCCGACTTCTCTGCCGAATAATAAAAAGTTAGAGCACAACTTCCCAGACAACTTAATAAATATCTAACTATTATACTCCTCTTTAAGCTAACCGTGATTAAGGACAGAAGGGTTAGCTTTATCAATTACTCAAGCACTCCGCACCACGTTCCTTTGCCCTCCGACCCCCGCATGAGTACTGTGTGCCACCCGACTTGTCTCTAATTAATCTTAAATAACTTAATTATGAGTATGCCCTTCGGGTATAAATACGACAAATTATTAACTGGATTTGAGATATCTATTTATGTTACAATTTTAATGGAGTCTCTTGACACTGTTAATTGATATCTTACTTTACTTAAATACGCGAATAAATCATATTAAATTATAAAATAAAACGATTTTATTCCATAAATATAACAGCGAGTTTATTCAAAAGTTAGAACGGTTTGAACTCAGTATCACATTCATAAGATGAACGGAGAGATCTTAACGTCGCAGCCCCATTTTCATCAGTTCTTCAAGTTTTTCAATAAAAACTTTCGACGTCGTCCGATTTACATACGGTATGGATTCATTCATTTTCCAAAAGATTTTTCGAGTAAAAATGGCGAAGGTCTTCGGTATCCATTAGAGATGAAAGGTTGTGGCACTTGAATCCGCCTCCACCGAATCCAGTATTTGGCCACTGGAATTACAATATTTAAGTAATATTTTTGGAATCATATAAAGGGCCCCAATTGAAATGAGAACAATTCATTAAAATTGAATACACTTTTAATACAGTTATAATTTATGTGTATTTGCAATTAAAATTATGTTGACGCCATCCATAGTCAAGCAGTGATGTTAAATAGAGAGTGATTGCCATGTAACAAGTTTCATATATGTAATTATTGTGGTATAAATTGTTGACTTATATTATTTTTAGATATATAAAGACGTGCTCTATTATAATAATATTTTGATAAGTATGGATTTTTAAAATCAAATCTAAATTCGCATAAGTATCAAATACTTTATTCTTACATTGTTAAAATATTTATCCAGGTATTCAGAAAGGATAAACCTTCGAGAGCAAGACTAAAGAATTCTCGCATAAACTGGAAAAACACGCACGTCCGTATCGTAAAACGTGCAATATAAAGTGAGTATAAAACAGCTGGCGGTTAATACATTCAATTTATTTTAAGCGATGGAGCACCAATCCCTTCATAATTGTGCAAAGATAAACAATGCAACGAACAATAGTCGGTGTCCATTCCTGATCACATATTGCATTCGGGACAGTAATTCGTATATACAATAAACAAACGCCATACAAACTATTTGGGTTAATAACAGCTTAAATATAACAATAGTACTTGAAGTTTAGTAGGTAAGTAGGCTTTTGGAGTTAAAAAAGATGTATCAAATAATAATAGTCTATTTGTTAATATTTATATTTTTATTCAATTAACAAATAAATATTTTATTATTTGTTAATGTTTTATTATTCAATACTATTAATTTTTCAACATATTTCGTCGTCGTCAAGGCATATTTTTCACGTCTTTATATTAATTGGTTACTATAATAATACAAATTTACTGTACAAATATTATTTTACTATACTCAATTAAATATTAGAATATAGTCGAAGTATTGTGTTGGGATCAATCATTGGTAAAGTGCAAATAGTTTCGCATCTGAGCATATGTGGGAAGGCGTGTCTTCAAACGTTGGCTGAAGCAGCCGCCGGCGGGGAGAGAGGGATAATTGATGAAGTCGACGTGAGACCTCGCAACGGTTAATCTCTACCCGCCACCTTCGACAGGACTAACTTTATCTACGGTTAGTTCCACGGCGACGTAAAGAGGTCACCTCTTAATTTTTCTCAGAATACAGGAAAAGTTTTAATTTTGACTCTTTCGCTATTTACCAAAAAAGAAATACGAGCGCAGGTTAATTTTTTATTTTGTTCCACTTACCTGCTCGAGTTATATCATCGGAGCGATGTATACATTTAACGATGAACTAGACATGTATGTCTATCAAAATCGATCCAAACTATAAGCCATTTCAAAGTATTAGTGTAAGCCAAAATGAACATTAAATAGACAATATTGCATTAAACTAATATCTTAACACGATTACTTAAATATAAATTATTAATCTCACTCCAAGGAATTAACACAAACTGTGTAATATTATATTATCTGTGCTATCACTATAAGAATACTTTAATAAATCAATGATGTGCGATTTGGATTAGCGATGTTGCCAATATATTGTTACCTTGACAAACTGTAAAATACTATTAGAATGCAAAAATACAAAACAAAACGGCATCTCATTAATTAATGAAAGCTCATTATTCCAACTTGCGGCGTGCTATTCACTCGCGTTCACTAAACAATCACTGTGGACAATATGCTGTTATTTACCTTCTTTAATAATTGAATTCTTATACTATATTCACCGTCAATATAATTAGGACAAACTGTTGCAATCAAATGTATAAAATGTTTAAAAATAAGAAAACAATATAGAATAATGTTTATTAAAAAATACTCTAAATTTGCT